TAAATTTATTCAAAAATAAATGCAATACCAGCAGTTGAAATGGAAGGAAATTTCAATATTTTGATGTTTTTGCTCTGGGCAGTTTGGGATACCTAGTTATAAGATTTTTCATTCAGTCTTTATGCTCTAAGTGAATGATTTATTATAGTTTTGTAAGTCATATCTGACATTTCTACTCCTTTCATCACAGTTTTTAAGTTTTTTATTAGCATACATTGCCAGGAATTTGGGATTATCTTCAGCCTGCTTCTCCCACTTAGAAGAAAACTACTTATCAAGGTGTGGATTTCATCATCCACTGAACAGATTAAATGTCAATTTTATTAATTACTCGAGTATGGGTCTCTATCATGGAAAGCACTAATACATAAAGTAAGAAAAGAGAACAGATACCCACTTAAAAAATATTATTATACTTATCTTTCATGGTAACAGGGTAACAACCCTGAAATCAACATTTTATAAGTAGAAATGTAAAAAATGGTGTTTGAAGGTTAAAATTTAAATAAACTGAAAATTAAAACATGGTTTGGCAAATCCAACTTTGGCTTCAGGTGCATATGAACCTTGAACCAGAAATTGAAAGAAGCAAATGAGAAATTATGTTGGTAGATGATAAAGTAAGATTAATGTATTTTCAAGTACATATATCAGTGTGAAGTGCTTTTTCAAACAGGACAGGATTGGTGTGCTGATAGGTGGCACGTGGATATGTTGTTTTATGAACTTCTTCTGGGTGATCACAGGTTTTTTGAAAAAGGTTAGTACGAACTCTGACAACTGATATGGAGAAAATTAATTTGAAACTAAGAACTAGGGAGAAATCGGATGTCCCTTTTCTGCGACCATCATCTGCCCTTTATAATCATCATTAATTTGGATTTCTGGTGAAGAATCTTTCCCTAATAAGAAAGCCAGTGGTTAATTTACGGGAATATGGAGATAATGAACTATGTACATTGTGAATTGTCATTTTCTGGGGCTTGGCCAGGTAAAGTGAAGTCATTAATCATTGTTATCAGAAAAGATTTCCTTATATAAACAGGGGAAAGCTTAATCACTGTTCATATGGAGTAGGACAGAGAAATCTACTGGCTCTGTTTCCAGGCATGACATAGTTGACTGATACTGATGAATTACCTGAACCAATCAGTTATATCTAAGTATCATGACAAGGAGCTGACCACACCCCAGTAACTTGATATGTGATGCCCTGTCATCAAGATAAAACCCTATCAAGTCAATCTGGGATACTTTCAAGGACATTAAGAAAAGGCCCCCCAGTCAACTTGGAAGAAAAATTATACTTAAGGGAGAAAAAATGATGAAATGACAACTTGTGTTTTCCAAAGTTTAATAACTATAATAAGTTGATTTTTTTTTTTTTTTTTTGAGAAAATGTAACAATTTCATTTTAACTTCCTGTGACGATGTAGTCTGCACATTATTCGCTGCACAACCTGTGGTGACACCTAAGGTTGGGTCTGTTTGCATATACACCCACCTCACTATGTTCACAGGCTTGGCTCCTTGGTCATGATCATATTCAAAAAAAATGACAAATGCTTTTCAAGACGATGGTTGGGAAATAACAACAATGTGATTTCTCACTTAACCATAGTCTTCTTCCTTCAACTGGTCAACACTTGCATTCACTGACTGTCCAGGCAACTGCTGGTTTCTCACTGGTCACCTACTCACTCCTGACTTTCTGCCTCTCTCTGCTGATATGGATACTCGCTGGGGTCGTATCCCCTTATATATCCACTTATATTCCGGAAAAGTAGACCACCCAAAAAGCTGGATGTGTGGTCACTTTCTTCAAAGGACACTATTTTTATGATTATTTAAAATCATTGACAAAATTTTATGTTTGCCAATTCAGTCAGGCTGGAGACATCCTGAAAATTCTAGCAATTAAGTTGACCTGAAGATGGACTGAAGACAAAATTCCTATAAAAATCAGATAATTAAGTGGACTTAAAAGGAATTTATGTACTTATCTCCTAAGGATGTTTGAGAAATCGTATTGTTACACCCAAAAAATAGGACCTAGTCTTTTAGAATTAGTAAACAATCATTTTAAAGAGGAAACTGATTTAATTTTGAAAATTACCTAATTATATTTCAATTTCCTAAAGCTAAAACATACATCTAGTTTACTTTTTATAATATATATCCAGTTTCATTTTTTTAAAGAAAATGTAAATCAACTTTCAGTTTAATCCCCAAATTCCAAGAATTAGACAAAATATTGACAGCCACTAATGTAAGTGAAATGAAAGACCATTAAAAGGAAAACCTATTTTTGCTTTATTTTTTACATATGAACATGAGTCAAAACTTCAAAAAATGAAATTATATCCAGTTTATATATTTTTTTTTATTTTATAATATGAATTATGTTTATTGTTTTTTAAGAAAGTGGATAAAAACAACAACCATGGCAAAACTGATCCAAGTGTGACAGTTTGGTCAAAATACAATGAAAAAGTACTTTATACAGTTTTAAAATGCATCATTAAAGAAAATATAAGAAAAAAGATTTAAACTGTGTAATATCCATCGATAGACTGAGTCTGATTTAAAACTCCCTCGGCAATATAAATTTTGTAAAGTAGGGTAGGTTGGGATATCTACTATTAGGACATAAATGACAGGAAAACCAATTTGGATGCTGTATCTGATATACTTTGTAACTGAGAAACTTAAAAAAAATTTTTTTTTTAAAGTTTCTCAGTTGTTTTTTTGTTTTTTTAAAATTTAAGCCATATTCAGGTCCCTATAAAAAAAAAAATAAATAAATAAAGGACACACCTAAACTGTTTATATTTTTTGTAATCTACAGCAATTATTAATTCTGAGAGGTTCACCATATAAAGTCTTGAATTACCATGAAATGATAATGAAAACATTCCATTTGCTAATTATTTTATAATTTCACCTTTTCTTTAAACACCTCGATAACCTGTTATAGAATTTTGTTTCTTTTAATCAAGATTACTTTCAAGCTTTTGAAATCCTCCTTATGTTAGATTCACAACTAAAAAATTTTATTTCTAAATTTGTATGCATGTATGTATTACATCTTTTTTCTCTCGCATTTTGTGAAATGTGCAAAGATATTTCAAAATTTACCACATTTAAACCAAAAATTTGCATTGTAATAAAGATTTTAAAATTTGTACCTGATACATGACTTAATTTAACCATTTTATTACTATAAAATAAAAGGAAAGTGTGCACTTAATGTTCTAGATTCATCAAATGAGGTGGTTCTATCTTTCCTTGTATATTTTATAACATTTACTTTATTCTACAATAAATCAGTTCTGTATGAAAGTTTTGCTTTAAACTTTTAATGTTCTAGTGGTAGTGAGAGTAATAATTTTTCTTAAGAATAATATGAATTCAAGCTATAAAGAATTATCAAAATATACTGATTAGTTTATCTTAACCCCTTGGTACTACTTGATATGAGATTAAAAAAAAAAAAAAAAAAAAAACGTAGATTTTCTTGTTGATTATGTCATAGGTGTTAATATAGTGCTACCCAACTGCAGGTGCATTCAGGTGTTTCCAGACTGTAAGCATGTGAAATTTGCAGACATATTTTGGTGCTTCTGGCCTTAAAGACTGAACAAATGTAATTGGTATACCAATCAATGGAATTAAACTTTAAAAATTAATGTACAAGTTGATAATTATAATTATTGAAATATATTCACAGAGGTACAAAATTTTATTAGAGAAATAAAAGCAGACATATTAACAGGCCATTCATAACTAAAAAGAAAAGAGGGGTAACAAAAAATATATTACTGTAAATTGGTAATACCAAAATATAACAATTAAAAATGGCCAAACTGGTTTATTGATCCTCTCTCAAAAGGACAAAATAGTGCACAGTGACTAAAAATAATATTCAACTCCAGACTAAAGTTGTATACAAAACATTAAAGGTTAATTACCTTTAAGCTGCTAACCACTCCTTCTGTTTACAGAGAGATGATTGGTAGATCTTAATGTATACTGATTCTAATAATCAACATTAGCCTGACTTCGCACCAAGAATGTATCTGGTATAAGACGGAACAAACTGCTGGTTTTTAATTAAATGTTCTACCTCTGTAGGCAACCACACACTGACATCTGAATTTGTAAATTACAGAATTAATGATATGTAGGCAAGAACATCTTTCTAGATTGGGCTCAGCAGAAGTCGGGCATTAAAAAAAATATGTGGATTGGTAGAAATATAATTTCTTTCATTCACTGAAATTTGCTTGACAAATCTTGCACTAACCTTACCAATCCACGATAAACACAAATAGACAGGACATCAATTTTTCAGAAAAATAAGTTTCTCCAGTCTAGTAGCTGGTATCACTGTTTCCAGTATTGATGGGTATTTTCTTCCTAACCTTTTATTTGAAGTATTGTGGAAAATCAGCATCTTGATTGTCATTGTCTCTTTGAGTTACATGTGATATCCATTTTAATTCTTGCTGTTGCTGAATGTCCTCAAGTGATGTAGTTTCTGTTATCTGATACAGCTCTTTGTGATTCTGTAGCACCAGTAAGAAACACATAGTGTACATTCTTGTTGGCCAGTATGCAAACAATGTAGTCTTCAACTACCTTGTAGAATGGGTATACAAAACTGCAGTGAAAGAAAGTATGTCTAATGAACTCCTCCTAATTACTACAGCGCATACATTGTAGTAAAATTGCCAGTCCTGCTGACTCAACAGTCATTTCATAACATGAGTGATTCCTCATTGTTATGGAGACATTTCAACCCAAGCACCCAAGGTGATACACCTGTTTCATCAGACCAAGCTTGTCAATTAAAGCATTTTGAAACAGCCATGATATAATGCCTTCCTCAACAACTATCAGAGAGACCACTCATCTCATGAGAACATCCTCAGAGCACTATAACTGATCAGTTTTAAAAACACAAATACTAATTTTCAAAATATTTAATCTCATTTTAGACAAGAAGGACAGGGTGCTGCTGAAGAGTTGCGAGGCCGTGATTTTCGCAAAGATTTAGAAGACAGAGAACGAGCTGTTAGAGAAAAAAAAGACAGAAATCGTGGTATGTATGATTAATTTATCCTCTTTATTCCATCTCATGGAAATAGTTTTGTGTGAGAGTAGAATGTTACAAAACTGATACATTTTTTTATCTGTTCAGATAGAAGCAATTTTTTTAATTACACATGAATTTTTCATGTGCAACATCAGTAAAAATGTTTTAATTTTTTTATAATAAATTGTTGATTTCCTAAGGTGAACAATAATTCTTGAATATGTAACTTAAATTTTTTTTATAAGCAAATAACTATATTGTATTTATACAGGTTTAGTGGTGTAATTGATAGAGGATCAGAATGAGAAATTAGAGAGCCAAGTTCAAATTCTAGTTGAGTTCATTATATTCACTTATGCACAAATACCTTTAACATAGGTATGAATCAATCTCTTCCCTAACCAGCTATGGGTTAAATTATACCACTACCTTGGATTTGTAGATCTGTGGCAACCCAACATACCCTATGGGCCCTGATCATAAGGAGTTGGAAACTACCATAGTATTATCAGTTTCCTACAGTATGATAGTTTTTCTGATGCTGTCACCCAGTGACAGAACTTTGTTTTGAAAATGTTAAGTTTCTCACAGCAGAACTGAATTCCACTGTGAGACAATAGTAACTTTTTCTCCAGGAACTGGAGCTCAGGTGGAAAGTATCAGTGTGAGAGAAAACTCCAAAGAAATCACTAACAATGTTGTCAAATTCAAGTACAGATTTATTATGATGATATGTATATGGATGAGTATGTAGGGTTATCTTGTGGGTATTACCCTCTACTCAACTGAAGGACAGCCTGAGGCAGTGATATTATTTCAATACTATATTTCAAATAGTAGTCCTAGGTGAATTCGTCCTGTTATAAAATAGTAAGATTTGTAATTGTTAATGCAATGTTCACTTGCCAAAAAATTCTTACAATCCAAAATGTTTCAGCATTAAATAAAATGAAATTAGTTATATACTGTATTTCGGCTTTTTTTAAAATGGTATTATATATATGACAGGCTGGAGGGACATTGAAAAATCATAGTGAGAGGTGAGACAATGAAATCAGCCATAGCTGATCATGTATGGGGGGGAAAAGGGTAGTCATCAGCCCTTGTGGAGTGAAGTAAATACTGGACAAGGAAGAACACTGGAGAGTTAGAGGTCTGGAAGAATCAGCACCTATGGATATTTATTCTGTAATAACAGAAATGTGGCACAAGGCCTAAATAGGGGAATGGGGAGAGGACGGTCTTCTTCTGTCTTAAATATAACTTAGCTAGTTGCAGACACTGACCCAATCGTACGAATAATATTCCTTACACCAAAACAACACATTCATACATACCTTTCAAACTACAAACACCATAATACCTCATCGTCTCTATGAAAAAAAAACTAAGTAATCCCCATATATACAATTCAATGTCTGTGGGGGGAGGGGAATATAACAATAATTCTAAAAATAAACCCCAAATGTTTATTTACAATATGAGCACAATCTATTTACAAGAAACTAAAGAAAAATATTATTAGTAATAAAACCCCCCACAATCACTTAATGTGGCAGAAATACCAGTTCACTGGCCGAAATCAATGCGAGACTATAATAGAATAAATCATTCATTCATCTCAATGCACATACACTAACACGCACTCATTCAAACACAACAACAAATACGAAAAACACTCACGCGAAATGAAAGGTGCCCCGCATCCACTGGAGAACTGACACCCACTGACCACCTAAAGAGGGAGGGGATGGGTAATTAAACTTAAAGAAAAATAGAGACAGAAATAAAAGGGACCAATGAGCATACATACCCTAGCTAAGTTAACTAAATAAAAGAAACTAAAACATCAACAAATGAACCTAGCCTAGTTTCTGGATGGGTTGCACTAGTTCAACCCAGGAAAAGCAATATCTTAATGCCTAACCAGCATCAAAATGCCACTAAAGGTCAGCCCCTTTCACACGACACAAACTAATTTAAAATGCACTTTTTGCTGAATTCTGATGAAGTAAGCGCTGCCTTTCGTCCTAATCTTGACTTTAAGCAGATGCTTAAAGTACAAGATCAGTTGGGAAGAGGTGAACTTCTCGCCTCCATAGAATCCCTTCTGTCACGTCGTCCAAATCACGACTCTCATAATTCCTAGCAAGCAGTGAAACACATTGTTCAGCCTTCGTCATCGACGGTGCCACATTGCTACAAATGGAAGAGGCTTGAAGGACAAACAACTTTCCCTGCAGCATGCGGACCATGAGGCCTTCAACAAACTTGCACAACGGCACTACCAGGCTGCACTGAAAGAAGGCGCGACACAGGGTCTCGACCTCTCCAACACAGTGACGGCAGTTTGAAGAATTTTCCAAGCCAGCTGAACAAAGTCTTTTGGCGACCCAGAGGGCCCCACGAATCACCAGCCAGGTGAGTGATGCCTCATCGTTAGTGAGACATTTCAACCCGAGCGCCCAAGGCCATATTTGTTACGTTTTTTTGGGTGTATACCGTATATAACTAGTGAGCGAGTCAAAACGACTTATTTCCCTTTATAGTCGACCAATAGAAGGTTGACCAATCAGAAGCCGCACACCACTGTATCCGTCGTGTATAAAGGCGGCCATCTTTGTTTTGCTACTGGAATGACCAGAGGCAACTTGTCCGGCGAACAGGACAGACGGAAGAACTACGCTCTGCTACCTTGCTGCGATATCCACTGCGAACCTGCACTACGCTTTCCTACTGTCTCCGAAATATTCACTGCCAACCTCTGGATTCTATACTAGAAGACGACCATCATGAAAATGTCTAACATTGGTTATGAGCTCAGATCACGATTATATTTTGACGGGAATGAATCGAGATATGAATTATGGGAGACAAAGTTTTTGGGCTACCTCAGAATACAAAAACTCCATGATATCATCCTTTGCAAACTCGACCAGGAGGGGGATGATTTCATGGAAAGAAATGCGACCGTTTTTCGCTAAGTTAATTCAATTCCTGGATGACCGGAGTTTGTCTTTAATAATGAGAGGCCAAGGACAATGGCGAAGAGCTCTACAGATTTTTGCGTGAACACTATTTGTCAAAAGGTAAGCCTAAAATTATTTCCTTATAATCTGGAACTAACCGCATTGAAAAGGCGAGAAAATGAATTTATAACAGATTACATTATTCAAGCGGAGAACGTTACGAATGCTTTAAAAATTGCAGGTGAAACTATCTCGTATGGGCTGCTAATAGCCATGGTCTTGAAGGGTTTGCCACCGTCATTCAAACCATTTACGACAGCTACAACCCAAAAAGATAAACAACTAACTTTCACTGAGTTTAAAATGGCGTTACGTAGCTATGAAGAAACTGAAAAAATGTGTACCCCCCAAAATCAAGGCAATAACGTCATGCAATTAAGAACGTCATTTAAAAAACTCAGAGAAACCAGTTCCTCAAACCGATCAGACTAGGAATTATGAGAGTAAGAACAAGGGCTTTAGAGACAATTATTACATGAATTATAAAGGAAGATATACTAAAGGAGATATCGTTTGTTTTCGTTGTGGTAATGTCGGCCATACTTGTGCGAAATGTCAATTTTATACACGGAATGACTATTGTAAAAATGTAAAAACTTCTTTGAAGGGACGTACATATGCCTTTTCGTTTGGATTGGGTGCTGTGGCCAGTAGTTCTAATTCTTACTTGATCGATACGGGTGCGACAAATCATGTAATTACAGATAAAACAAAATTCGTTAGTTTTGACCCCAATTTTCAGCCCGACTCACATTTTATCAAGTTAGCTGATGGGACCAGAGCTAATAATTTGGTTTTGAAAAGAGGCGATGCCTGTATTTATCTACGCAATACTAAGGAAAATGTTTGTAAATGTTTATTAAGGGCTTTATATATTCCAAAATTTAAGCAAAATATTTTTTCAGTTCAGTCCGCAATTGAAACTGGCGTTAAAATCAGTTTTCACCGCGACAATTCAAAGTTGACGTATCCAGACGGAACTGAATTTAATATACAGCAAAATGGACGTTTGTATTATTTGAAAAGTATTAACACTGCGAGGACAGCCACGCATGACTTAAGAACTTGGCATAAAATATTGGGCCACTGTAATGATTCAGATGTTAAAAGATTACAAGAACACGTCACGGGAATGAAAATTACACTTCCAAAGGATTTACAATATTGTGACACGTGTATTAAAGGGAAAATGATGAAATATAGAGAGCGGGGTCAGATCCCAAAAGCAACAGATATTTTGTTCAGAGTTTATTGCGATTTAGCGGGTCCAATTACCCCAAAGTGTATTGACACTTATTCATATGTATTAAACTTTGTTGACGAATATTCAGGACTTATTATGATATTTTCTGAAAAATAAATCTGACACACTGCGAGCTACAAAAATCTATTTATCAGATATCTCCCCGTATGGAAAAGTAAAAATAATTCGGACAGATAATGGTGGAGAATTTACTCCTGATGCTTACAAAAACCTCCTAATAAATGAAGGCATTAAACATGAGAAAACCTGTTCTTATTCTCCACATCAGAACGGAGTCGCTGAGCACAGTTGGAGGACACTGTTTGAAATGGCTAGATGTTTGTTAATAGAATCTAACTTACCCAAAAATCTGTGGGTTTATGCATTAAACACAGCAGTATATATAAGAAACCACTGCTATAATAGTAACATTAAAAAACTCCTTATGAAGCTTATACAAACTTTAAGCCTAATGTGAGTGATATGCATAATTTTGGTACAATTTGCTATGCATATGTCGACAACAGGGCGAAACTAGATCCAAAAAGTGAAAGGGGCATATTTATTGGGTATGATAAGACAAGTCCAGCCTATATGATTTATTTTCCACAAACTAAGACAATAAGGAAGATTAGATGCGTCAGATTTACAGATTCCTTTGAGCGAGGGAGGAACCGAAGAAAAGAATATTAACTTCTATTTAACTAATCCAACCCGAACTAGTATGGCCCAAT